CAGGGTCTTGCTATGCAGTTCAGACTTATAATGATCCTCCAGTCTCAGCCTCCTCAATGCTGAGATTTTTTCTTTTTGTATTTTTTAGGGAAGGGTGTTCAGGGTCTCACTATTAGATCAGACTTATAGTGATCCACCTGTTTACAGCATCCCAAGAGCTGGGATTACAAGCGCGGGCCACCACGCCCAGTCTCAATTGCCATCTCAGCATTCAGGCCTAGGATCAAACCCCTGGCCCCTGTGCCTGCTTGCAGGTGCTTTAATCCGCTGAGCTACTGGGATTACAGGCGTAACTACCACACCTGGTCTCAGGGCCAGCATGGCATGCAGTACCAGGCATTGAACTCGGTCCTTGTGCCTGCCAGGCAGGTGCTTATACCACTGAGCTATCTCCCCAGCCCCTTGGACTTAAATTTAAAAAAAAAAAATGGGGACAGTATCATCTCCCTAGGATGACGGGGGAAACAGCACACAGAACCCTTTTTTGTGCCTTCCCTCCTTCCCCCAATCGCTTCTCGGCCTTTTGGCTAAGATCAAGTGTAGATGTGCCCTCAAAGCCTCATGCAGTTTGAAATAAGGCTTTTTCAGAGCTGGCTGAATCCAGAGTGTATGGCTGATTCATGGCTCAATGCTAGGATTAAGGTTGCTGGGATTAGGGGTGGGTGATTTGTGGACCAGTCCACTGACCAGGACCAGTGCTTGCACCACTCTGATCCTGGTAGACTGAATGTAACGTAAGGGTCAGAAAGAGCCTCGTCTCCCCCATCTCCACTGCTGCTTTTGCTATGTCCTGCCACTGTGAACTGTGGCTGCCACGTGCCACCCTGCCTTGGAGACAGCTAGCACATCTGCAAGCCATGAGCTAAATAAGCCACTTGCCCTTTAACTCTGGGGTCGGGGCTTTTGTCTCAGCGCTGCAAGTGAAGTAATTAAGATTCCCTGGCACTTTCCTCTACATGGTGCTGTTTCAGGTCTAATGAGTCCCCCCAAGTCTCAGTGTGTGGAGGGTGACCGGATCGTGGGGTGCTGTACTCACCGATGGACTCGGGACCCGCCTGCTGATGACGCTGGTAGCTGCTGGTGCCGCGAGGAGGCAGTCCTGGAATGTGACCTGCAAAGGCGGATTCTGGTCTCCGCTCCTGCCCGCTCTGCTTTGTGGCTGCCCTGGATTGAGCAGCTTTTCTCTTCTGCCACGCTAGTTCTGCCGTGGAGTGCACGGCACCCATGGACTGAACCCACTGAGCCACGCAGACTTCTCTTGGAGCCAACACCCATGACAGCCCTAAATATTTACACGCCCTGTCACACTGCCTTTAAACATCCTCTAGCCTAAAGGTGACAGTTACAGCCTCTATCACTGTCCTCTGGGAATATGTCTTCAAAACCTCCAGGCTTCCTTTCCATTTATCCACGTGGCTTCTTCTGTTCTCTTTTCTATTTCATTCTGTTTTTAAATATAATCCATTAAAGCCATTGTTAGTGTGGGGAAAGACCACGGGAGGCAGGAGCAGGGCCCCACGAGTCTCCTCCCGGGACAGCTCCCCATGTAAGAGCTCTGCCAGCTGCAGCCCGGCAGCCCCCAGGGGCCCAGGGGCACTTCTGGAGTGCATGTAGCCAAGAGCACCAAGCCCTTCCTCACGAGCACTGGGACATGCGCCAGGGCTGGAACATAACTAGCAGAGCGGGCTGTTGCTTCTTCTGAGTGACCAGCTCCTCAGCGTCAAGAAGCGCAAGGGGCAGTCCAAAGGCTCACGCCACTTTCTCTCCAGTGCCCAGAGCACTGTGCGGCAGGGCCACGGCTGGCGCTACGTGATTCTCCCGTGGCCCCAGGAACAAGATGCCCTCCCAGGTGACTGGTGTCCCTAAGGAGGCATTTGTTCACCTGCAAGTGCCAGGCCCAGTGTCACAGCCCCCCTGACTTGTACGACTCCCCAACACCAGTTCTGAATGGCCCCTGGCCCTGGTCCCCCCGCCTCACACTCTCCGGTCAGCCCTCCCAGCCTTGCTAGCAAGTGCTGCCTCCTCCAGCCCTTGCCCAGGGCGGCACAGAGGCCTCCTGGGGAGCTGCCTCTCCACGCCGCCAGCTCCCTCTCTACCCAGTCCAGCCTTGCAACTCTCCTACCTTCATGACACCCATGGAACAGCAACTCGAAACACCACGAGTATACTGCTTCACTAACAGTGATGTCCTGAAAGAGGGGGCCTCAGGGTCGGAGGCCTCCTGTCCGCTCCATGTGTCAGCTTCTCAGCTTCCTCTCTGCATTCCCTCACGGCTATAGAGTGGGTGCTAAAGCATCCGGTACAGAGCACATCCAAACCCAGGAAGGCCACGTGCTCCTTGAGCGTGTCTCCTAGCAACAAAAACACTTCCTGGAGAACACACTTCAATTCTCAGCAGCATAGCAGCAGCTGCCCACGTGCCCACTGCCAACCAGCCACCCTGGCACCCACGGCAAACAGGGAGGTGGCTAAACAAAGGGTCAGGCCCATCTCCCCTGAACACACCCATGCTGGACGCCTGAAAAACTGGAGATTCTGCTAGCAAGACAGGGAGAACGGCTGTAAGGCAGGCGGCAAGCAAGTTTACACCATCTTCAGGGCCCGTAAACATCCCCAGCTCCAGGACAGGCTGCTGGGTCAGAGGCCTGTGGCTCTTCCTGCCCAGCTGGGCGAGGACATGCCACCACCACAGCTCCAATGACTAGAGACATCTTCGTGAAGCCCTGGGCACACTAGGTCAGGGATGGCTCCAAGGGCAGTAAGACGCACAACCAATGGGCGCGTTTCCTGTTGGTGTACTGTCCGCTGAGATGTAAGCACACTCCTGTCCTGGGCTCCATGATGGAAAAGAGGTCGCTCCCCTAATACCACAACCAATGGGCGCGTTTCCTGTTGGTGTACTGTCCGCTGAGATGTAAGCACACTCCTGTCCTGGGCTCATGATGGAAAAGAGGTCGCTCCCCTAGTGCGTCAGCCAGGGCAAGATCAGCCGTGGAGAACTCAGAACACCTGCCAAACCCCACGTGTACCAGACTCCTGCACTTCAGAAGGCTTCTTTCTTGCCAGCCAGAGACTCACGGCTTTGGCCACCAGGGAAAGTTCTTCGGCAGAAGGACAGCACCCAGCTAGGTAACTTAAGTGCCAAGAATCTTGCATTTCTGCTGTTGTTTGCTACGACTTGCCATGTATACACCATCTCCCAGTGACGGCAAACACACCTGGCATATCTGAAAGAGCACTTCACTGCTAAATCTTTAAAACTGGTTTCACCGTACTTGGCAGCACTCAACCTTTGAGGGAGTCTGAACACTAGAACCTGCCAAGGTCTGCGGAGGCCCGCCTGGCACAGCTGGGAGCACAAGGCTTACACCCTGGGCGCCACGAGGCAACAGCCCAAATGCCCATCAGTTGAGGAATGGATAAAAAAGATACGGTAGTTTTACACAATGGATGGGGGCCCAGCCCTAGCTCAGTTCTTTAAGTGGCTGCTTCCACAATGCTGGCAGCCTCAGTTTGCTGTAGTTCGATCCCCACAACACTCCAGCCATGCAAAAGTGCCCTGAAGGCATTCAAGGAGCAAAAAAAAAAAAAAGTTTTACACAATGAAGTATCATTCAGCTATTTAAAAAAGATAAATTTGAGCCTTTTGTAGGTAAATGGATGCAGCTAGAGACTATATTGGTAAGTGAAATAAATCAGACCCACGTGTGCAAACGTCATATTATCTCCCTAGTGTGAGAACCTGAAAGAGTAATGAAAATCTAAAAGGTACAGCAGATACTGTGAAAGGTAAAGAAATTGTTCATTGGGAAGGAAAAACTGGGATGAGGGAAAAGACAAAGGAAAGAAGGGGAAAAATACAGGCATAGATGCAGAAGAGTTTGGATAATTGCATTGTCAATCTTGCTGGTCTTTTGAAAGGATCAGTTAATGCTTTTTTTTTTTTAACTGATTTTTTTTTTTTTTTTTTTTTTTTTTTTTTTTTTTTGTCCTCTTTTGAATTTCTTGTAACTTCTTTGCTATTTTTTTGTTTGGTTTTGTTTTGTTGGTGAACCAGGATTGAACTCAGGCCCTTGCGCTTACTCCACGGAGCCATCTCCACGGCCCCATGTTATTGTTTTGTTTTGTTTTAAACTAATCTTACACATTTATATCTGGTAATCTGAACAACGAATCTGAAGATAGCGTCATGCAATACAGCAACAACTGTTGAATCCTTACTACTATATTTAGTGAAATCTTGTGTCTTTTTTTATTTTTAAGGGAAGGGTCTAGAGGGTGTTCAGGGTCTCACTACTACATCAGACTCGTAGTGATCCGCCTGTTTACAGCCTCCCAAGAGCTGGGATTACATGCGCACGCACCACGCCCGGTCTCAATTGCTGACTCAGCACACCCTGGAGTGCGGGGCATGCAGGCCCAGGGATTGAACCTCCGGCCTCGGCACCTGCTTGCAAGCACTTTAATCTGCTGAGCTATTTGGCTGGCCTTCTTGTATCGTTTCTAATGTTTTTTGTTTTTTTTTTTTTTAAATCACTATTCTGTATTCTTTAAAAATAAAAAAATAAATGGCTGCTCTCGTAAGATAAAAAGGTGACTAGCAGAAATAATCTGCAACTTCCAACTTCCTCAATTAAGTTTTCTTTACTGTGTAAAATAAACAAAATACCATTTTACACACCAAAGACTATGTACTGTGAGCTTTAAAAACTGGTGCCCAGTTTCCCATACAGTGTTTCCTGACTCTGACTCTGGAGCGGGTGGGGCTGCTCAGGAAGCCGAGGCCGGGAGAGAGAAGCCACTGTCCGAGTCCCCTGGGGATGGCAAGGCCGAGACCACACAACAGGCTCGAGTCAGGGCTCACCGTCATTCATTTTATTCTTTCTTGCTTCTTTCCTTTCTTTTCTTTTGGGAGAGAAGTAGGGATTGAACCCTGGACCTAGAGGAGCACTTGCACGCTGAGCTGCACCTCCCTCCCGAGCTGCCAAGCCGGCCTCACGCCTGTGACCCTCCCGCCTCAGCCCCCCGAAGGCCATCATGGGCATGTGCTTTCACATGGGCTTGCCTCACTCCCTAGCCATTGCCAGCTACGCCCTCATACCATGACACCTCTCTAAATGGTGTAACATAGAACCACACCAAGGTGGACGCACTGCCAGTTACAGCTATGAGACACCTGCAGCTGGAGGTCCGTCACACCCCAGAAATGTCAAAACGCATGTCTACGCACACCCCTTTGCACACATATAAACACCTACTCAAATATACACGTTAGGCTCCACAGCATGTAGCAGCCTACTAATCTTGGAGCAAATGATGTCCAATAAATGCTATCAATGTAAACACCTCCCTGAATCCTCAAGAAAGTTAATTTTTCCGTAAAGAAAAGGTAAATCTTAAGTATGAAGAAAGTGACAGGAAACTAAAACTCTGGCCAATCTATACACTCTCTAAAGACTGTCTCCTCATCAGTGGCATTGGGCCGCACTGTTTACGAGGTAGAAAGCTGCAGACGGCTTCCCACCCCTAGGACATCAAAGGGCAGAACGCACTTTTTTCTGAAAATATTCCATTAGCAGTGGATTTTAAATTTGCCTGTTTTCCTTAACTTCTGTTTGTTTCCTCCGAAAGTTAAGGACAGAAACAGTGATTTCAATCCGCACCAGTGCATCTCAGTGACCACTGAAGACCTGGTCTCAGGGCCTCTTCTCCCTGCCCCTGAAAGTGCTCGCGTCGTAAGCCCACACGGTGTCCACTCCGTCCCCAGTGACGTGGGCCGGCGTCCAGTGCGGGAAGGGAAAGCGGCAGGCAATGACGCGCGCGTCACCCGCGAGTTCGAGTTCGAGTTTCCTCTCCAGCTGTGGCATCTGTGGAGGCAACAGATGACGAGTGAGGAAGGGAGTGAAGCCCTTCGAGCGCTCTGCGTCCCTCAGTGTCCCTCCCCGAGCATACGATCACTGCGGGGCACGGCCACATCACCAGGCAGCCCCTGCCACAGAGAGACGCACTCGCAGCAGTTGCAGTAAGACCTTCTGCTATCAGTTCTAAAATATGCCGTTGTATCGGCTTGCAGTTAGCTGACTAAGGTCATGCTACAGCAATAAGGAATAAGAAGAAGCATTAGATTATTTACCTACATAACTACTTCACCGTACCCTGCCTCATATATTTAGGACACACTTTTAGTATCTCTGAAATCAGAATACAACATGCAATGGACAGTATCTTAGATTTCTTACAGGCAGCATTTTTTCTGTCTCAACAGCAATGGTGTACCTTAATATCAAGAGCCCAAATTCTAATTTATCATTACAGTCAATACCAAGGGAACAAAGGTTAATTTGGTGGATAGAAAATTTGTATTCTTTTAACAGCCAGTAAAAGATTCTTTAAAAAAAAAAAAAAGCATTATTCCTTGAGGGGAAAATTAAGGAAAGAATGAGAAAATGTGTGTTCTTCCAAAATATCAGAAGTTTCTCATGGTAATTTTGTTCATAAAAAGAATAATTGTAAACTTATTCATATTACCATTATTATTTTCCCTTTTAGAGTTTCATTTCCAAATGATTGTCATGTGCTAAGTCAAGATAAAGCTAAAAATGAAAGGAGCCATTTCAATCATAAATTAACTGACTAAATTATACATAAATATGCAATGAATCTGATTCTTGATATATACAAAGAGAAGCAGTGGTGTGTCATGCCTGCCTAATGGAATTCAAAATTATTCATACAATTATAGGTTTCAAAGTGACACGAACTCATCATATTCTAATTATAGCTTCAGAACTTTAAACACAAGTTACAACTGGCTCAAAGGCATGAGACAGATCACCCAACTCCGGGAGAGGCTGAGCCTGGAGTCGTGTGCATACGCACTGCATTAGACAAACGCTCCACCGCTGCGCCACATTCCCGGGCCTAACTCCTCCTTAACTTCGCATTTTGCCTGTCTCAGCTCACGACAGCTCTGGGCATTTCTCTCTCTCTGTGTCTCTGTCTGTTTATGTCTGTCTCTGTGTCTCTGTCTTTCTCTCTGTGTCTCTTTCTTTCTCTCTGTGTCTCTCTCTGTCTCTCTCTGTCTCTGTGTCTCTCTCTGTCTCTCTGTCTCTCTGTGTCTCTGTCTCTCTGTGTCTCTCTCTGTCTCTCTGTCTCTCTCTGTGTCTCTTTCTTCCTCTTTGCATTTCTCTGTGTCTCTCTCTGTCTCTCTCTCTCTGTGTCTCTTTCTCTCTCTGTCTCTCTGTGTCTCTCTCTGTCTCTCTGTGTCTCTCTCTGTCTTTCTGTGTCTCTTTCTTTCTCTTTGCATCTCTCTGTGTCTTTCTCTGTCTCTCTGTCTCTGTCTCTCTGTGTCTCTCTGTGTCTCTCTCTGTCTCTTTCTTTCTCTTTGCATCTCTGTGTCTCTCTCTCTCTCTGTGTGTCTCTTTCTTTCTCTTTGCATCTCTCTGTGTCTCTCTGTCTCTCTGTGTCTCTGTCTCTGTGTCTCTCTCTGTCTCTCTGTGTCTCTGTGTCTCTCTCTGTCTCTCTGTGTCTCTCGCTCCCTCCCCCCACCCCCAGCTCATCTTGCCAGCCCACCCATCCTGGTCCAAGCCTCGACACCAGTTGGACACGAGTTGCCTGGAGCTCCACAAGGCTCATAACCTGACGCACACACATAGGGACACTGCTGCCAGGTGGCCCAGGACCCTACTCAGCCCAGCCTCCTTAGTCCTTCAGTCCCAGAAGGGACCTTGCTCAGTCACGCGTGCTTCTGCTCTCCTGTCAGGGCAGCTGCCCCACAGAGGCCATGGATCTTCACAATCACATTTTCCCCTCTGACTGTCCCTCCTCCGTCAGCCTGACTCACTTACTGCTCCTGAGACCCAACACGCACACCTCCTGCACACCTCCTCTTCCGTTCCTAACAGAATCCACAACTAAAATTAAACTGGCTGTTCTCAGAGGCTATACAATTATTAAAAAGTTAATAGCCTTCTGGGAAAGCACAAGCAGTCTGGTCACGCCTTCTTCACTTGCTCACTGGGGTTTACTGACTGAGTACTCTGTGCCCAGCGAGGCACTCCTGGAGCTCAGGTGACCCAGCGCCGGAGGGATTCACACCTGCAGCTGGGGCTGGTGCACCCGGCACGCGGCGGCGTCAGCTAGCTGGATGGGGTGGGTGCTGCATAAGAGGAAGACGGTCCTGGAGTCCACCTCCTTGGGTGACAAGGGATGACGTGACACAGAAGACAGGTGTCACACCTGTGAGTGATCAGGGACAGCCCAGGCTTCAGGCAGCGAAGTCCAGACAAGCACAGGCATGCAGGCATAAAATTGTCAAGGTACGGTGAGAAGTCACAGCAAGGTTTCTGCCAGGCCATGACTGCTCTGTCCTGCATTCTGAAAAGGGGCTCATATAATGGAGTGTCTGCAGCCCTGTAGCAGCACTGCAGAGCCAAACGGGATCCTGTCCTGTGATGTTAGATGCTCACGGCACTCACAGGCCGGCTCCCTAGCGCTGGCTCCACAGGTATCAGGAACAACTGGTCTAGTGGCAGAAGCATGGCCGCAAGTGGACAGTACCAGCTGCCAAAGGGCGGGCACCTCTAGGGGCACTGTGCAACCCAGAGACAGACTCGCAGGGTCACATGGCCCAGAGGCAAGCCCCGCCTCCCCCGCACTGTGCACTGCTTGATGGAGCTGACCAGGGCCTTCGCGAGCACAGCACAGCCTTCTCCTGCCCCACGTGGGACATGCACATAGTGGCGGGGTCTGCAGCTCTGTGAACAGCAGCTGCTCCCCAATGCCCTGCGCTAGGGACATCCTCTGAGCACCTCAGTTCAGGAGAATGGTTCAGGACCCAAAAGCACTTACAGAATCATAAGACTCCTGCCGCCTCTGAGTGCATAAGGTGAAATCAACTTGGTCTACGCTGAGGGCCGCAAGGAAGCAGCAGGCTTTAGCAAAGGCCATGGCCCAACAGCTCTGGCAGCTCTGGCTTCTAACCTATACCTGGCTTAGCCTCTGGCCTCTCAGGGCAGAATTCCCAGGAAACATGAGCTTTCTGTTTAAACAATGCATGGAACTCCAGTGAAAATGTCCTGTCTCAAACACTAACTGAGGCTCGGCATAGTGACACATGTCTGTAATCCTGCACTTGAAAGGCAGAGGCAGGAGGACCCTTGTGAGTTTATGACCAGCCTGGGCTACAAAGTGAGCTTAAGGCCAGCCTGAATTGCATAGTAAGACCCTGTCTCAAAAAGACAAAAAAAAAAAAAAAAAAAAAAAAAACCTAACTGTTCCATGTTAGAAGGAAAGCAAACACCAAAATTTGCAGTAAATTATCACCAAACTTCCACGTCAATTCTATGACTCCAGCTGTCCAAACTGAGGATCAGTACATTCTGAGTGTTTTCACTTCTAGACCAAAACAGATGCCTGAGTTTGATCTGAATCTCAGGTACAGTGAGAATTACCAACACATAGGTAGAATACCTTCACTTCCAAGAACACACAATAAAAGCATTTCTAACTATTATTAAACAATTAAAGAAAATATGGTGGTCACATCTGTAAACCCAGCAGTCAGAAGGCTAAGATCAATGCCTTAGGCCAGCAAGATAGCTCAGTGGTCTAAGTGCTTGCTGAGGCAAGCTTAGGCAGGCACAGGGGACCTCAGTTCGATCCCTGGCACCACATGCCATGCCAGTCCCACCCTCAGGGTGGGCTGAGCCAGCCAGCCACTAAAGATTAGCCAAAAATAAAAAATAAAAAGATCCCTGCCTGTCCAACACCAGCTGGGCTATACAGGGAGTTCAAGAGCAGCTTGAAGGGGCTGGTGAGATGGCTCAGTGGTCTAAAGCACCTACTTAGAACAAGCTTAGCAAAGCACAGGGACTGCGGTTCAATCCCCCAGCATCACATGCCAGCCAGCCCCGCCCCCTGGTGGGCTGAGCTGGCCACACACACACACACACACACACACACACACACAAATAAATAAATAAATAAAATTTAAAAAAAAAAAGAGCAGCTTGAACTACACAGCAAGACCCTGTTTCAAAAAACCTAACAATCAAAAAAAAATTTAAAAAAAAAAACAAACAATCAAAGAGAAATAAAGAAAGTAGAAACACAATGAAGTTCCTAATAAGAATGAATCTCCAAGCTCTGAAACAGCTCACATAAAAATTGAGGTACGAATAACACAACGAACAAGGAAGTTCCCTTCTGTAAAGGCAGCGAGCTGTCTTCTCTGTATCAGTCCCGTCCTAGCGTTACACAAACAGCGAATTCCATCACCATTCCTATAGCAACAATTCTAGAGGGTGCAAAGTACAAAGGGGTTTCTTCCTCTGCTCTGTAAGCCAGCACTTATGGCGGAAGCATCCGACCCTGCCCATCCTGCCATAGGCGAGAGGGACCACTTCCAGCACAATTCCAAGGTATTTTCACTTGTGGAAGTGTATCATCAAAGTTCAATATTTAGCTGTTCAGCAAATCAGTCAATTGAGGTAAATTGAAACTAGCCAATGCTTATCCACCCTGAAAATTATCTTCCTGTAGAATTGGAGGACGAACTGAAAGGGAGCATCCCATTAACTTCCCCGGGTGGCTTGGTTGCGGAGAAGTGAGCCGTTGTGAAAATCGCCAACCACCAGGACCTCATAAAGCAGTTTTGTTCGAATCAGAGTTTTTAAAGCTCAGAGAGATCGTTAAGATTTCTATCTGAAACAAAAGTTCAGAAGCAGGACTGGATCTTTTATGACGGAGCTCGCCAGACCCTGAAGTACACATTAAACCACTCAACTAAAGACCCAGTTCCCAGAGGCCTGGCAGCCCCATTTGCCAAGAAGAGGTGCAGAAGGGGGCAACCTGTGGGTGTGAGAGAGGTGACGGCAGTGCGTGGGGTCCCGGAAGCGGTCACACTCACCATCTGAGGCACTCCAAAGATGACCACGTTCGAGTACTGTGAAAAGGACACCTGGGCAAGAGGGAAGCAACAAGAAGTTATTCTAAAATCTCAGGCTTTGCCCTGCCTTGGCTCACAGAAGCAGGCAGCCAGTTCTCATTTGCCAGTGTGGCTTTTAGAAACACCCAGAACGAATGCTGTGTTCACACTGCCCTTCGTACTAGTCCCATGCTTTAAATTTTCCAGATTCCTTCCTGTAACTCAGCTCATCCACTCAGGGACTCCAAGCAGGGTCCACCCCAGGGACCCTGTGTCAGAAAGGTCAGCAACACCCGTTGGCCACTCCACTCCACACACAAAGAAGCAGCGTAGTAAAGACACACAGCGAAGCTGGGCATGGCAGGCATGCCTGTAATCCAGCACTGGAGAGGCTGGGGCAGGAGGATCCCTGTGAGTTCAGAGCCAACCTATACTACTTAGTGAATTCAAGGCCAGCCTAGAATATACAGTAAGACCCTTTCTCAAAAATCAAAAACTTCAAAGCCACCTGTGTTTAGTTTTTCAGAAGCACCAGTTTTATACTGCACCATCCTTAGACTTTTAATCTTCTCTTCTGCTCTAAGTACTACATGAGAAGTGCCGTCAAATGGTCTTTTAACAGTTGAAAAAGTGGGGGGAAAGTGTTGTGCCCATTACAATTCTTATTGCCCAATAAAAGTCTTATTTACTCTATACGGAGATCATTTGGTTATATACTGCATGAAGAACAACGCAAGCAAAACTCAAGTGAATTTTTATAAGCTACTGATGACAATATTACAGCGGGAAATTCTTATTTAAGAAAAACACACATTATGGAGCATTGCTAAAGCAAACTTACGGGGCTTTCGAAAGCACAAGAAATCCTGAAGTGCCTCACACTTTGAAAGACCAGGATGGCCTGGTTAGGGGGCACTTTCTTTTCCTAGCCCTGTGATAGGTGATACATTGTGTCAACTCGGCTGAATCAGCTCCGCTGGGGCCGGGGCGCAGCCCTGCCCCACTTGGGTGGAGAAGTCCCAGTCTTCAGAGGAGCTTGGTCTTCAGAGCCGCACCACTTCGGAACTGCTGTCGTTGGCCTTGGAGCCAGCGGAACACGGACAGTAACTGTGAGCGAAATAACCCTTGCCTTCCTTCATTTTGAGTGTCAGGTATTTGTCCCAGCAACGAGTAAAGAGGTAACTAAGACCACCCCCATCCTGGCCTCTATCTGAACATGCAAAGGTGCACAAGGCAGAGGCGAATACACCTCAAGGAGAACCCAGATCCCCAGGGGGATGTAAAACCTCGTTATTTCGTAACAAACCAAATCAGAACACTTTAACTTAGTAAATAACTTCATGTGATTCACGTGACCTATCACAGCGACAGTGAACCTCTTAGGGCTTTCAATGGTACAAGCAGCCTGCTGTGGAACCCGTGCCACAGGTTCGACACCATGGACTTCTTCTCATATCCAAAGCTCTAAGCTTTAGAGTTGAACCCGTCTGCAAAACCTGTGAGGCTAAAAACGTGAACACATTTCACCAAGGCAAAGTATTCATGTGGATTCTAAATTTTTCTTTTAACAAAACTTTCAATTTTCATGGATAATAAAAATTTTGATGACTATTACTAGGACCATTCTCTGTCTTACATACCTTCCACAAATCTGAAATATAAAACGTGGCTGAGCCATGAACACCTTCTCTCCAAGCCCGGTACCTGGAGTACCACACCAGCCAGGGATTCAATTCATAACCGACCGCTGTGAATCCCTCCTTCGCAGCCGCTATCACCTGAAGAGGGGCCAAGATGTACCAAAAGAAGAAAAATCAATTTACACAGTCAAGTAGTGTGTGTACTTCCTATCTATAGTTTATAATCGTAATACATCCCATTAAAAATCACATTTTTTCTTTATCTTTTAAAAGAATAAACAATAAAAACAATGGTATAAAATTTCAAAACAAAACTGCAAGAAAGCAATAGTGTTCAGTACCCTGCACATTACTATCTTAAAAGTAGTTACTCATAATACAAGATATAGGTATGAAAAATCAAGGGCTGGGCAAATAGCTCAGTGGATTAAAGCACCTGCAAGCAGGTTCAAGGCCCAGTGTTCAGTCCCCAGGGCCTGCCATGCCCCGCCCCCCCAGGGCGTACTGAGACAGCAACTGAGACTGGGTGTGGTGGCATGTGCCTATAATCCCAGCTCTTGGGAGGCTGTAAACAGGAGGATCACTACGAGTCCAATCTAGTAGTAAGACCCTGAACAGCCTGTAGACCCTTCCCTAGAATACTAAAACAAAAGAAAAATCGATCAAGCAATATAGACTTGTATCTTTCCTTTCAATGAGATAATTGAAATTAGTAGTGTCTCTAAACTCTCCTGTTATTTAAATGTATTTTTCCTTTTCCCTTCCTTCTTTTCTCCTCCCCTCCCATTCCAGTTCCTCTCTCCTCTTGAGCATTTTCTTCCTATCTCCTATTTATCATATATTTTGGGTCTTATTTACACTTCCAGCTTCTTACACCAGGGAGACAATATAATGTTTACCTATGCAAGTCTGATTTATTTCACTTATAATTATGGACTCAAGTCACATCCATTTCCCTATAAGTGTCTCAAGTTTATCCTTTCTTATAGCTTAGTAGTTAAAAAATGCCTCATCTTTCTTTATCCATTCCTCAGTTTTTGAGTATTTTGGTTGTTTCCAAGATTTTTACTATAACAAACTGTGCTGCTATAAACATGGGCGCACATATATCACTGTGGTATGATGTTTTCTTGGAAAACATTCAGAAAGGGAATAGCTGGGCTATGTGGTTCCTCTAATCCTAGCTTTTTTTTAAAGAATCTCCAGACTGATTTCCAAAGTGGTTGCACCAGTCTACACGGATACACATTTTAAAATGCATGCTGTCCAAAGGAAGATGGCTCATGGACAAGGCGCTGGCCCAGCCATTAGTCACAGACTTCACCTCGAGTTCTGAAGTGAATTTGCAATTGCTTTGCACAGCTGCAGAGGTAATTCCAGTTTGGCTAGCACCTGACAGGCCTCACAAGGACTTGCTGAAAGTCCGCCACATCCTCCCACCAGGCCAGGGATGGTGGTGCACGCCTTAACCGCAGCCCTCAGGAGCCTGAGACAGGAGGATGTCCGTGAGCTCGAGGCCAGCCTGACTACATAGGGAAACTGTGTCTCAGAAAAACCTGCCAGCGAGAACCTGCAAGCAGCTGCACATTCCTTAGAACTGAATGACGTGTCTGCCAACTTGAAAACAGGTAAAAGCAAAATGGAATGCATCTGAGCAAAGCCCACAGGCCCCCACCAGCCTTGTGATGATGGGAGGGAAGCCCAGTGGTCCTGGGTCCCGCGACCCATCTGCCTGGCCCCCAGCCTGGGCTGTCCCCCAAACATAACCATCCAGATACAGGGCCGAGAGAAGCCAGAAGGTACACTCAAGTATGCAAAGGATTCAAATAGAGCACTTCAACTTTCCACCCAATTAATATATACATCTCCCAATTTACTAAAAATAGACACTAATGGTTGCCTGAACTAGGGGAAAGAATGGAGTGGGAAGTACTGCTTAAGACATTCATAGTTTCAAGGCCGGGAAGACAACTCAGTAGAATAAGCACTTGCCTGGCAAGAGCAGGATTCTGAGTTCAATCCCCGGTACCGCAAAAAAAAGAAAAAAGAGAAAAGAAAAAGAAAAAGAAATTCATCGTTTCAGGGCCAGCCAGATTAAAGTACCTGCAAGCAGGTGCAGGGGCCTAAAATACAAAAAAAAAGAAAAAAATTCAGTTTCATTGCAAAACAGATGAGGGTTGTGATGGTCAAACAGAAAGAATATACTTAATAGCACTGGGAATATATATATATATATTGCAATGAAGATGAAGCAAAGTTGCCAAATGCCTGCTTTCAGCTAAGTGGGGGCTCACCACTGGCTCTTACTCATTTTAACTCTATAATACCCCATGGAAATTCCAAATATATAAATACAGGGAATGTACCAATAACAAATCTCTGACTAAATGGTTCTTTTAATTATGCTACCTCTACAGGTCCACAATTTTTTTTTTCTAATTTTAGGGAAGGGTCTACAGGGTGTTCAGGGTCTCGCTACTAGATGGACCCGTAGTGATCCTCCTGTTTACAGCCTCCCAAGAGCTGGGATTACAGGCGCGCCACCACGCTCAGTCTCAATCACTGTCTCAGTGCACCCCGGGGGCAGGGCCGGCACAGCAGGGGCTTTAATCCACTGAGCTATTTGGCCGGCCCCACAAATCTGAACAGACGTTTGATAAGGAGCAATGAATTGCTCTTTTTTTTCCTACTATATTTAGAGTACCTTCTCCTTTAAGAAAAAATTAAATTTAAGAAAACTGAATTGCATACAGACGCTGGTATGAACCCAACAGTTTAGCTACACGAACACAAAATGAAACCACCACTTTCCCTAGCTGTCACACTGAGCTGGCAGGTCTTTGCCTCTATTACAGGAAACGGAAGGTGAGGTCTCAGCGACTCTGAACCCGGAGTCCCGAGGTTCTGGGGCCACTCACAACGCGCCCGTCGCCACTGCCGATGTCCACCAGGGAGCCTCGTCGGGCCCGCAGCATCTCCAGCACATTTTCAATCTGCTTCGCAGTTGCAGGAACGAAAGGCAGACAGACCTTCCGGAGGGCCGGGGTGAGAAACGGCGTGGCCACTGCATACACGGCCACCAGGGCACCGCCCGCGACACCGGTGAGCAAGAGCCCCCAGCGGCTGCGCTGCGCGCTGCCAGCTCCCGACCGCGCAGAGAGACCGGGCCCGGGCCGCCTCGCTTCTCGACGCCCGCCTGGGGGTGCACCTGGATGACAGCAAACAGAACGCGGGGTGGCTCACGCTGGACCCGACTGCACGTTTCTTGCAACTCTGACTGACAGATGGTGCTTTATGCAGGGTGGTTGAGCCAAGCCAGTCACAATCACAAGGTAAGATTCCAGTGAGTTCCCAACTGACAAAATTTAAATGATTTGAAGAAAATTCCCCCACTCCGCTAAAGAGTGAATTTTTTCCTTTCCAACACATTGATTGTATGTGTGTCTCGGAGTCGTCCTGAGAAGACAGCATATTAATGGCTGGGTACGAGGCACATCTGCCACCCCAGGCCTCAGGGCTGAGGCTCAAGGAGCTCCATGAACGGGAGACCAGCGTGCGCCACACTGTGAGCTCAAGGCCAGCCTGAACTATACAGCAAGACTCGGTCTCAAAAAGCCAAAACCAAACGAACAAAAAATCCAGTACATTACTAATTCAAGGTCCATTTGTACAAATTATAACCACAAAATCTGCATTTTTATATTTAGAATGAAGAAAGCCTCACACATTTTTTTAATAATTTTATTGAGAAACAAATGGCAATGAGACAGTTTCAAAACCCATTACTAGCAGTTTCACCAATACATTGCATATTGTTGTCTTAGTAGTTATTCATTGTACAAGATGCAGACATGATATCCTGTCCACAAACACTATTAGAACAAATCTCTCAGGGGGCCGGGGAGATGCTCAGTGGAGTGGGCGCTTCTCTGGCAAGCGCAAGGGCCTGAGCTCAATCCCCGGTTCCACCAAAAAAAAAAAGAACAAATCTCTCTATTCAATGATCCAAGAGAATGCAGCTGTGTATCTATCTTAACTATTTTTAGAACATACAGATACGAAATGGTCTATCATTTGTATCCTTTTTTGTTTAGTTTTGTCAGAGATGTGTATTCCATTGTCATTTAAATATTGTAGGTGCCTGAATTCAGCAAAATATTCCAATATAGTCCAGTAGTCCATAATAGTGACTTTTCCGTAAGACAGGCAATGACAGAAGTTGTTGACTTGGCCAGGGGGATGGCTCAGTGGAATAAACACTTGCCTGTCAAGCACCAGGGCCTGAGTTCAATCCCCAGTTCCACCAAAAAAAAAAAAGAAGTTGTTGATTTGAGCCTTTTACAGCTCAGCACATTAATATGGCTTTATCCTCTCTACTCCTTTCCCACACTTCTCTGCTGGAGGGTCAAGACCAAGACAAAGCAAGACCTATATAACAAGCAACGTAGCTTTTATATCTGATAAGGTCAGTCAAATCCCCTCAGGATTTATCCTGAAAGAAAGCCTCATACATAAATAAGTATGAAAAACATCTATTACCACCGGGGAACAGCTCAGCAGCACAGCGCCTGCCTGGCAAAGCCAGGTCCCTAATTCGATTCCCAGTATTCAGAACCAAAATGTCTGTTACCCTATTTCTAGTAGAAAGGATTCCACATCAAATTGGTCTGACATCTGTACTTTAGTGGCAGAAACACAATTTTGAAACAGAAGAAACAAAAATCTGGTTTCATCAAACTCTTAAATAAGTATAGTAATAGAGATTCTTCTGCAAGCAGATTGAAAAGGCACTAAGTCACTTCAACACTATCACCAGCACGGAATAAAGCACACGGAGCCAGTCACTGACTGCAGAGAGAAGGCCGTCGCTTGCATCCTCCTCTGATGCTCACGTGTCCCTCAGGGATGGGAACAGGACCTGGACTTGAAACAGACGACAGCCAGCACAGCGGGGCTGCTCTGCAGACAGCGCAGCAAGGACGCCAGTGAGTCATCCTGACAGCGTACTGGGGTCACGCTGAACCCCACAGGCACCAGACCATCCTCCCTGGGGCAGCGGTCCAGCAGCCCTGGCAGTGTGGGGCTAGGCCTAGAGCCCCGGAACCCACGGAGAAGAGAAAGGAAAAGGGCAGACTTCGCAGGCGCTGCTTCGCTCCCAGGCCTTCCCACTCCACCACGTGTGTGTCCTAACTACTTGAGGGAGGTGCCACTCACATTGTGGTGCAAAACAGTGTGTGTGTGTGTGTGTGTGTGTG